GATTCTATGGTGGATGTTAACCTTTTTTGACAAAAATTTTCCTTGAAGAGTAAGTAAGCATACAGTTGGGAATGTCGACCAAGTGGGAAGAGTTACTTACCTTGAAAGTAAATTTTACTTCGAATAGTAAGCACACATTTAACTCTGTCTACCAAGTGGGAAGAGTTACCTAATTTGAAAGGCAGTATACGACGTTTTGTCCGTTATCAATATACAGATATATCCATCATAATGCATATCATCTTCTTTTAATAATAAATCCTTTTTATTCCCGTGCATTTTCTTTCATTACTCAACTTCTGGTTTTGATTGATCGTTTAATATGAACGCTTTATTTCAGCAGCACCTAATTTTTTAATGCGCATTTTATGATTCCCGTACGCGAGTGAAACGATTGCATTCATATCATGTGACAACAACCCTCCTCAAAATTTCAACACCCTTCTCTGAAATCATCGTAGGCCCTCTGCAGTCGAGATTATAAAGTCGTTGCCATAATCTTGCCAATGGCCGCGTGATATGTGCTGCCTAAGGACTATATTCAATTTTGAATTTAGATCTGTCTCTCTCCTAGACTGTTTGCACAGAACGCTCGTAGATTTCAGTCTGCTATGCCGTTTAACCTATAGGTTAGAGGTGAATAAATGAATACATGGAATTCGATCTCGATGAATTTTTTTTCGTTTCTGGCAGCTACATATTTCACAATGAAAACATCGTCTTACTTACTTCATTATGTGTGAGGAAGCCAATATTGAACACCTTAAAATCCGGTATTGAATAAAGAAATAAAAATAGAAACGCAGTATTAATTATAGCTTTATAAAAAAAGACAGTATAATTTATAGGTTTCTACGTGCAAATCATTAAGTCTTAAAGTAATTTTATGTTTATTTTCCCTTTAATTTCATACAAAATCATATTTTAGAATATTTGGTTTATAAACATAAAGAAAAAAAAAAACAAAATACAACAAATACTGTACTCCCATTTTTTTTAATAGCATCTCTCTACTTAAACATTCCATACAAAATGAAGTTATGCAATCTTTCCGCCACGTTTTCACCATTTTGTCCTCTTTTCTCTTTAAGAAATATATTTGCAGACATAGCACCGTCTTTAGCTTTTCTTTCAGTTTTATTTGCTGGCAAATACTCCAAGAAATGAAGTAACCTCATGAGTCCGAGTAAATGGTAAGCTCATGAATCGTAGAATTATCAATTAATCATTTCGACTCGGGCCATGAATAAATGGTGTCCATTGCGTTGTAAAAAGGTTAGCTCATAAATTGCTGAGATCCGTTGCTCTGGAATGAGACAATGGATGCCACTGACAAAAAATAGGACGGTGGTTCTGAAAGGGATAGCTAATACTATGGTCTCAATGCACTGTCAAATGTCATCTGAGGTTTCATTGTTTTTAAGTTTTCCTATTTTTTCAATTTCATTTTGTGGTCGGATTTAACGGTCTCGATTCAAGAGATTTTCTTCAACTTTGTTTACTGGTTTTAATTACTGGATGTGGGGGGATACAATTATTATTATGGTTACGCGGGGGTTGGGTCAAGTAATGGATAGCGTCACGGATTGAGGAATCGGAGAGCTGAGTTCGAATTCCACTCGGATCAATTTATATCTATTTACGTGCTATTTTCAAGGCGTTGTTTCTCTCAGATGTAACTTCTATATCAATAAGCAGACACTTTCCGAATTTCTAATTTTTTTTGATAATATCAGGTCTGTTTGCTTTTATTTCATTGTCAGTTTGAATTGGAATGTCCCAAAGGATAGTTACATCGTTATTTCGAGTAACTGTGTCTGATTGGCGCTCATACTATCACTCAGTGGTTTCGATTTTGTGCTTCCTGCATATTTTCCAGTGCACATATATCACTACCTTGTTATGTCGCTGGACATACTCATTTTTACCAGTTCCGGATATCCTCAGATAATATGGTTGACAGTTTCATCATATTTTTCGTAGATCTTGCATTTCGGTTAGTTCCATTCTTGATTATGTGACAGTGATAGGATCTGGTTTCGAGGCTGTATTATTATTATTATTATTATTATTATTATTATTATTATTATTATTTCCTTTGATTTCTGACGTTTACACATTTCTTTCCAGGTCCCGCCCAGTGACCTAAGGTTAGAAATGGCATCATGACAATTTCCGCTGAAAAAAAATTACACAGATAAAGCCCCTCGAAAAGTGTGGGCTGTACTTGTCAGAACAATTTTTTGTATTTCTTTGAGGCAAGAAATCCCTTCAATTAGTCTACTGGAATCTTTTCCAACCAATCCTAGGGCCGAACTAAAACAGGGATTGTTGGTGTTCCCATGTGTCACAATTTTGAGCTTTCTATTTTCGCGGTGCTTGTATTTTGACAGCTTTTTGAATATCTCCAAAGATACATTGCAGTCTGCAGGGACTGCCATATCAATAAGGAAGCACTTTTTTTTGTTTGTGGTCTCTAATAACAATGTCTGGGCGGTTGGCTTTGATTGTTCTGTCTGTGTGTATTATGTAGTCCCATAGAATTGTAACAGGTCCTATCTTCGTAACCGTGTCTGGGTGGTGTTCATACCAGTTTCTTTATTATTATTATTATTATTATTATAAGTAAATTTCAGGTTTATGCAGAAAACAAGGGGTGAGAATAATCACAAAATCTGACCAAATGACTAAATAGGACATTATTAAAACTTCTTTGTTGAGCCGGGAACGTTTCAGAATTTATCCATACTAATTTGCTCAAATCAACGTTATACAGAGCTATATACATTTTGGACATGTGAGGAATGCCAATGAGAAAAAAATATTTTGTATATGCGTTTTCTGCTAATTATTATTATTATTATTATTATTATTATTGCCTTTTCCCGGACGGCATATCTGATGTTTCAATACCATCGACTTCCGTCATCCCTTCTCATCGCAGCAAATATATTTCAATCTTTGCAAATCCAGGTTTTGTCCTCAACGTTTTGCTCGCTTTGTTCAGATCGTTCTAGATGCTCCCTTAAATTTGGGTATGGCACAGGCGTTCTTATTTCCAAATTTTATCAGCTATCGAGCATAATGATAAGATTTATTTTCTTTCTCACTCGTAGTGTTTTCATACGATGTTCGTTATTTTATATCTACTGTTGGTCATTTTGTAGGTGGGTGGTAATTTTTCTTTTTTATTGTTTGTATCCATTCTTTGACTTGCTTTTTCTACTTTCTTTATTTGTTATTTTTTGTCTTCATTTCATTTGTCCATTCCATCAACGCGTGATCTTTCTCTTTCATTACCATCTATTTTCTCTGCTCACTTCTCTTTCTTCTCCTCCCATTCTGAGGAAGGATAAGAAATACAAGATCATATGCATGTATCTTCCAATTGGTAGTCTGAAGAATACGTCTTTGCATTACTTGGTAAACATGTATGCAATGAGATAATTAATATAATGGAAATAGAAGCAGAGATTTCTTTAAAATTCTTGAGGCTTGGATATTGCTTTGTTACTAAATGAATCAGAATTAGATATTTGAGATATCTGTTAATTAAATTTAAGGGAACAGCATCGTAATATAGTTGCAAAGTAAGGTGGTTTGGGAGTTGCTTCGTTGATTCTCTCGTTACCATTCCTTTGGGGTAGCACCATGGTGATTTCCGGAGATATGGATATTTATTTAAAAATACATTCGACTCGAAAGAGGTACAAAAAATACATTCGTCTTGAAAGATGATATTACAACTGATATTGTACGCATAACAGAAGCATTTTACTGCCTTGGGGAAACTAAATAAGATGTATATAACAAACAAATAAATGAAATTGCAGATATAAAGATAGACATATTCTGAGGTATTGACTTTATAAAATTCTACTGTAGATGTTGAAGACTTGTTAGGATCTGCCTACCAAGGTTTGTTTTGCCATCCGACTGTTGGGATTCCAAACATTTAACAACACCAACAACACCAACAAAAACGACAATACAGATCTTAAATAAAAAAAAGATAATTTTCTGGAGGAAGAGTAGAAGAAGACCCTCAGTTGAAATAACATTTATATATTCTTTTCGGAAATATACAATAATAAATATTCAATTTTCCTAGAAGATTCGTTTTTATAAAATAATTATGTGTTCTTAGGGCGATATGAGATGAGTGGATATCCTTTACCACGGTCAACCAAATATTCGTAGATCAGGGGTTAGTCGACAGCTGCTTATTATTCTCATCTATTCTTTGCGTGGACAAGGCCTTAGTCAGTGGCTTTAGTTGTCGTCTGTGTGTGCGTGTGTGTGTGCGTGCATGCGTGTGTGTACGCATGTGTCGCTCAATCTGGCCTCCGGAATTGTTTTTTAGCACCGAGTAGCAGTAGGCTTCTATTTTTATATCCGTAATTGGGGTCCAAATTTAGTTTCACATAGTTGGGTGAACTTTTTGAATTCGACTTTTTGCATTAGTTAGAAAATAATTTCATACTGGCACGCGGAAATTCCTTTCTCGAATTTGCGGGAGTGGGGAAAGAAGTTATTATTGTTATTTTCGAAATTTTCCAAAAATAACACGTGGTAGGTCTACAACGACGTCCGTCAAGTATTTTGGCAGTATTTTCCGTTTTGATTATTGTTTATCAAAACACATCTTCTAATGTGATTTTATTAGTTGAAAACTATATATAGAATTTAATTCCTATAGACCTATACTGAAAAAGAGTTTCTTGTTAGTTCGTCATAGTTAACAGCATAGGACATTTGTATGCTATATTGTGTTCGATAAGACTAGTGGTTTGCTAGGGACGTAGAATTATCCCCGCGGGCAAAAAATTTCGTGTCTATACGATACCGCATGAGTAAAAAGCAAGTAAAAAGAGAAGCCTGGTTATACGCGTCCTTCGAATAGGCATTCGCAACAACCAATCAAAATAAAGCCACGTTTTAATATATCACTGTCTCTTTCCCTTTGTTATTCTACATTTCGAGTTAGCAAGTGATCACAGATGCACCTAGCTGTAGATGTTCAACAGACTGAATTGACCTCTCCAACAGAGTCAAAGCTCTGTAACCTGCACTGGTGTCAACATCACACCCACAGCAATCTGCGGTATCATATCATACTTCGTTTATATATGTTTTTTAATTAGTTTTTTTTTTTATCACATATCGATATTCTTTATCGGAATTAATAACAAATAAGAAATATGAATATCTTTTATACGCGTAAAATACGCTAGATCTCGTGCAAGTTTTCAAAACGGGATTTACTATGAGAAAAAAATAAATATTATTATACTAATATCACAGTAGTTTTTCGACAAAAATACTTTCTTTTTTCTTTTCTAATTCACGTTTTTTTCTCCCCCGTTTTCTTATTCTTAGATATGAAAGGTAGAGTGAAAGAGAAAGAGAAAGACAGAAATAAAAGAGTAATGAATTTCTGAAACCTTGTTTCTGTCTCTCTTTCTCCCTCTTGTTCTCTCTTCCTCAGAAAGTGGGAGAAAGAGACAGAGACAGAGAGAGAGACAGAGGGAGTTTTAAGGAATTATTTAGTCTTTTATATCTACCTCTCTTTTTCTCTATTTCTGTCTCTTTCTCTCTCTCTCTCTCTCTCTCTCTCTCTCTCTTTGTCAGGAAGAGAAATGGAAAGATAAAATATTAAAGAATTTCAGAAAACGCTTTCCTACTTTCTCAAGAAGAGAAAGAGAAAATGACAGAGAGAAAGAGAGTGAGTGACAGATAAAAGAACGTAGAATTTCTGAAAACTCACTTTCTATCTCTCTCTTTCTCAGTCTCTTTCTCTTCTTGAGAAAAACATAGAAAGAGAGAGAACGAGTTTTCAGAAACTCTTTATTCTTTTATCTCACACACTCACTGACTCTATCTCTCTTTCTCTGTCTCTTTCTCTTGCTGAGAAAGAGAAAGTTTTTAGAAATCCTTTAATCTTTTATTTCACTCAACCTCTCTCTCTCTCTCTCTCTCTCTCTCTCTCTCTCTCTCTCTCTCTTTCTGTTTCTCTTCCTGAGAAAGACGGAGAGAGTTTTCAGAAATTCTTTACTCTTTTATATCGCTTTTAGCTTGACGATGACAACTTGAAGAAAATATTGTCTCAGGAGTTGCACAAATAATGGACGATATACCGTTGATTGTAAGAGGAGTTGACTCGGTGAGGTCTAAAATAGCTTTCGTTGGTGTGAAAGCATCGATTTCGGGTAGAAACAGGGTACGAAATTAGGCAGAAAACTTGACAGCTATAATATCGTGTTAGTTTTCTATCTGGGGAATTTGCTTTTGCAAATGTAGTCTTGAATACGATAACAGCTGGTCATTGTTAAACCGTTTTTCCCCATTCGAGAAGTAAATATCTACAGTAAAAATAATTCACTATCCTGCTGACTAATGTGTATTGAAGAAAGAAGATTGCCTTGTGTTTTTATGCATTCCTACAATGTTATTTATCTTTTTTATTTTCCATTTATGTAAGAGTTTTATAATTCCGATATTTATTCGGATTTTGTTTGTTACATAACATCTTAAAGAATCCATGTATTTTAACCTTTGTTTGCGATTCAACTAAAAAAAAAATCTGTACTATATGACAGAGAATGTTGGGAAAACTCCACAGAATGCTAAAGATTAATTGCAAGAAAATAGAATGTATAGTTGTTAGCAAAAGGCACATACTAACAAGCCAAATGACAAATTGAAGATACTAAAATCAAACAATTACAAGAATTTATATAGCTGATGCCGGTTTTAGCAAAGGACGGAAAGTGCGACTCCGAAATCCGAAGGCGTATTGGGATAACGAAAGGTGCCTTCCAAAAGCTATGAAAAGTATTAAAAAACAGGAAAATCAAACAAGTACCACAATTTAAATATCTATGAAGTGTTTCAACAGAAGACGTAAAGTGCGACACTGAAATCCGAAGGCGTATTGGGATAGCGAAAGATACCTTCCAAAAGTGAAGGCAGGCATGGACAGCCTTTTTCGAAAAGTGGAGCACAAGAATGACAGTTCATAAGGTGAACAAATAATCAAAGTGAGATACCACAGACATTTTCACATACACACAAAAAAAAAAAAAGAAGAAAAGACATGCGCATCTACCATAGAAATAAAGGAAATGTCGATTGTATATTTTTGGAGAAAAAGATTCCTTGTATAATTAAGAAAAACTGAAGTCTTCGTATAATATCACTGATAACAAAGTCATTGACACACGTTGCTGTCTGTGATTTATGTCTATTTTATTCATTTGACGATGCAAAAACTTATAAAACGTATATTTATTCTATAGAGAAAAATAAATATCATTAACATGTTCTGTTTCTGAAGCAAAAGGATTTACAGTTATGTTCTTCCTTAGTGAAAATCGCCAATAGTTTAAAATGCTTACCTTCACCGAAATGTTACAAACCCCAAGAAACAGTGTACTTAATAATTGTTTACCTGTGTCAATATGTGAATGTGTGAGTGAACAATTGAGAACGAAAGGAAAAAAACATTTTAATATACGTTATTTTCCTCAAGAAATTAGATGTGCCATTCAGAATGCCAATCAGGTCATATCTGGCTCGCAAGTCAGAGTTTGGCCAACACTGAAATAAGCAATTTATTAAGAAACAAAACATTCGTTATCTGTTTATATCTCTGAGATGAGGTATTATGATTACTTGCATTATTTACATTACTCAGACTTCATCTTCATTGTCATATTCACAACGTTTCGGCTGTTGTATACTCCGGCTTTCTTCTGGTGGTTAGTCACTGGCTCTAAACAACATCTTAATCCACAAGGGCAAGTGGCCCAGTGGATAAAGGCGTTGGTTAGATACAGTGAGCAGACCCAAAGAGTTGTGAGTTTACTACCAGGTCACAGCAATAGTGACCCAAAAAACTTGAGACATCCGGAAGAGGCATGACACATGGAACTAGAACAATCTACTCCGGTTGACGAAATAAAGGGTCCGGATGGAAATTCCAATCACTTGAAGAAGGCCGGAAAGTACAACGGCCGAAACATAGTGAATGTGGCAATGAAGTTATGGATAACATTCCGAGTAATGTAAATAATGCAAGTAATCATAACATTCCGAGTAATGTAAATAATGCAAGTAATCATAACATTCCGAGTAATGTAAATAATGCAAGTTAAACATTCGTTAGAAACAAAGAAAAGAGCACTGAATTGTTATGTAATATCACTCCTTCTATGTGATAGTGATTTGCTGACAGATCAAGAAGAGAATTTAAGCAACACTAATGTGGTTCTACAGAAGGATGCTGAGAATACTATGCGCGAAACATGTGAGCAACAACAAGATTTAGATAATATGGAATTTGGATTTAACATGTGAAAGAGACTGCTGACATTTCTAGAAAACATAATGAGGAAAGAGAGTTTGGAAATTTTTATACTCACAGGAATGATTGAAGGCAAAATTTACACTCTCGACTGATTGCCCACTGAGATTATATTTACTTTTTGTGTTTATATATCAGAACTACTCTTATTCAAGATCTAGAGAATCTAGCAATACCTAAGTCTGCTGTATGTCATGTACCTTCACATTATTGTCGATCGTGGCTCTCTACATTTTCCTAACCTTTATAGCTCTTAATAAATTTGTTCCTTTTCTTTATCTCTTTTAAAACCTGATTCGGCATCCATTTACTCAAGTTCGCTACGCATATTTTTTTTCTCATTTCGAGTAGCTATAATATATAAATACCGAAAAAAAAAACGCCAGCAAATGCCATTTCAATAGGCAAAGAGTCGACAACAAAGCGAACAAAAAGAAATGCGAAACCAAGCTGAGAGATTAGAAACAGTGAAACTCTTTTACATAAGATATTTGCTTAGCGATTGACAGTGATGCACCGGGAACTGAGGCTTCGATTTGCATTTGACAATGTAGATGAATGTTGTGTGCACAAATCTGAGGCTGTTATTAAAAACAAAGATGAAAATGTAAAACACACTGGACATTGAGACCCAGACTGTCCATTCTATCCAAACAAAGAAATCTCGTCTCGTTGTTGAGATGAATAAAAAGATTATGAAGGTGGATGTTCCGGCAGATCTCAGTGAGAAAAGTAAAAAAAATAAAAAAATTAAAGATAAAAAATAAGCAAAAAAAAAACAAAAAAAACAAACAAACAAAAAACACCACAAAGAATGAAAGTTAAAACAAAGTCGAGAATCTAGACAAGGGCAATATTTCGCTGCACAACGCTATGGTTAGGATCGCGGCCATTTTCATCATGTTTACAGAGATTCTAAAAGGGTATAAAATGAAAACTAGGGGAAATTTAAATTCAAAGTGAGCCGAGACTGGAATTGTTGTAAGTGCAGACGAGAATGTTGAAGATTTGCGAAAACTACACGCACAAAAACTACAATGAACACCTCGAATGGGAAAATACAAAAAATATATAAAAATTATAAATACTACTATTATTATTATTTTTATTATTAACAATATGATAATAATAATAATAATAATAATAATAATAATAATAATAATAATAATAATACATAAGAGTAAAGATTAAAGAAAAGAAAAAAGAAAAGATTAAAGAAAAGAAAGAGAAAAGAAAAACAGTGTTTGACAATGTTAAACAATATATCAAAACATTGTTTAACATTGTCAAACACTGTGTTTTTTCTTTTCTTTATCTTTTCTGAAATCGCGCTTTTCTCTTAACTGTGGAAAATATTGGAAGAGTTACGTCAATCATTTAATTTAAAATAATAATAATAATAATAATAATAATAATAATAATAATATAATTATGATGATGGCGGTGAAACTTTCGACCATATTATTTCAGGAGGTCCGGAATAGGCAAAAAAGGAATACACCCACAGACAGTACAAGGTAGCGATATATGTACACTGAAAGATATGCGTGAAGCACAATATCGAGACCACTAAGAGATAGTATGAGCACCAACTAGACATAGTTACCCAAATTAACGAAGTAACTATCTTCTGAGACATGCCAATTGAAACTGACAATGAAATAAAAGCCAACAGACCTGATATTATCATAAAAAGACAAGGAATTCAGGAAGTGCCTGCTTATTGAAATAGCAGTACCACCTGATAAAAACACCTCCATGAAATTTATCGAGAAATTGTCCAAATACAAGGAACTAGGGTTCGAGATTAACAGGATGTGTGGAATGAAAACTGAGACTGTACCAATAGTAATCCGAGCTCTGGGAGAAATGGAATGAACAATTTTACTGACAGTGTCCCGGGTAACTGAGACGTACAAGTTGCCCAGAAGATCGCCCTACTAGAAAAATCCCATATATTAAGAAAAGAGTTATCAGTTAAATGATAGTTCTCCTATAGGGCCTAAGGACCATAGTTTGGACCCGGCTCTACATGATACAAACATACACAAATAATAATAATAATAATAATAATAATAATAATAATAATAATAATAATAATAACTACTAGGACCCGTGAAAATTTCACTGTTTTCAAAATTGATTTTGAATGTTCTCAGGAATCATAATTCTTAACATGATTGAATATATTCCTTGCGTGTTCTAAAAATTAAAAACCGTGGAAATTCCCCTCTTGCAATCGTTAAGAACTTTAAACAAATATTGAAATTGCAATCATAAGTATGAATATAGGTCATTATGTAAAGAAGGATAAGGGTACAAATTAAAATATTTAAAACGCTAAATAATTTAAATTTCACTGAAGCAGACGTTAAACAAATATGAGCGTTATCACCTCTTTCTTTTTCTCACTGAGCAAAAGCATATTTTGTAAGTTTTTTCCGACATACTAAGGAATGAAAGAAGCGTATACTAATACTACTACTACTACTAATAATAATATTTTGTCTAAGCTCAGCCATGAAAACATTTGAACAGACGATGTGGCAAGTTGGCATGAGAAAAATAAATAACACAGAGCTACTAAAACCCATCTTGGGGGTTGGTGCACTTGGAAAAATCTCCAAGAATCTCTTTGTCTCCCAAGACACCTGACATCACTGAGAGTGCGTTTCTTGGAACAGCTCATGTGCTACGTGAAATATATCT